CTCAATCAATCGCGAAATGAAGGAATCACACATTTGATCATGTTTCCACAGCGTCAGAGACATCATAATAGCCTGCTGTTACCTCCTCTGCTAGACATAATCCGAGAGAACAGACCTGCAGCTTCTACACAGTTTTTCTCTGCAAGTTTAACAGAGAGAATAGGCCTGCAGCTTGAGCTAAAGGATTGTTTTGGCTGGCCTTCCCGAGCACCCACGCAGCTAGCTTTCCTTACATCTGAGTCAGAACGATTAAGCTCTCCTGCCACAACTTTAAGCCCTCCTCAAATCTGTACATACTAATGTATAAATTGTAGTCAGAGAAAACACAAACTATAGAGATGAAGGCTTAATATTGTTAAATGATAAGAATACAGTATTTATACTAATTACATAGATACTCTAGGTATTACATATTGACTAATATAGCCTCACTATACTTATATTCTACACACCCCCTCAAGATGGAGGGAGTTTGATCACTCCAATCTTGGACATAAGTTCATGAAATCTTGTTCTTTGCAATGGCTTTGTGAGAGCATCAGCCAACTGGTCTCTGGTGGAGACATGCGTCACTCTTAGTGCCCCATATTGAACATTATCGCGCACGAAATGGAAATCAAGAGCGAGATGTTTCATCTTTGAGTGGAAGACCGGGTTGGCGCTTAGGTACGTTGCTCCTACATTATCACAGTAAACTGTGGGAGTGTGTTGAAGCCGAACACCCAACTCAGAGAGAAGAGAGCAGACCCAACGCAGCTCAGCCGCCGTGTTAGCAACTGATCTGTACTCTGCTTCAGTAGAAGAGCGAGAGACCCTAGACTGCTTGCGAGAAGACCATGCGATAGGAGTAATGCTCATGTAGACAATGTAGGCGTTGGTGGAGACGTAATCGTCAGTATCACCAGCCCAATCCGCGTCGGAGTAAGCATGAAGCGTATTAGGTGAGTGGCGTCTGATGTAGATGCCATGCGAGAGAGTACCCGAGAGATACCGGAGAATGCTCTTTGCTGCTTTCCAGTGCTCATCCGTTGGTCGATGCATAAATTTCGAGAGACGGTTGACATTGTAAGCAATGTCAGGCCTGGTAAATGCAAGATATTGGAGACTTCCAATCACCATTCGGTATTCGTTTGGACAGACAAGGGCAGAACCAGAGTGCAAAGTGAGCTTAGGGAACGTCGCGAGAGGAGTGAAAACATGCTGCATATTCACCTTTGCAAAAAGATCAATGATATAGCGGCGTTGCATCATATGTAAGCCACCTGCGGTTCGTGTGACCTCTATGCCCAAGAAGTAGCTCAAATCCGATGGCTGTTTTAACGAGAAGCGAGCAGAGAGGACATGAATGCTAGCTGAGACAAGTTGTGCACTGCTGCCTGTAACAATTATATCGTCAACATAGACAAGAATGTAAAGAATGTTCTTACCATCAATGTAGGTGAAAACCGAGGTATCAGCAGTGGAGTTAGTGCATCCCATCTAATAGAGAATATTAAGTTCTTGATACCAGGCTCGCGGAGCTTGTTTGAGACCATATAAAGCTTTCCGGAGACGACACACGAGATTTGGACGATCTGGATCCACAAAACCCGGGGACTGAGAGACATAAACTTCATCAGAAAGTGTGCCTTAAAGAAAGGCGTTGTTGACGTCTAACTGCTTGATTGGCCAGGACTGTGTAACGGCAACATGGAGCACAAGACGTATGGTTAAGGACTTGACAACCGGACTGAATGTCTCCGCATAATCAATCCCATATTCCTGTGGGTATCCTCTCGCTATCCATCGCGACTTGTACCTGTTCACAGTACCGTTAGGATGAAATTTAACAGTGTGAATCCACCATGTATCAATGACATGTTGATCAGGTGCTGGAGGTACAATCCCAAAGGTTTTGTTCTCAATTTGAGCATTATACTCATTTGTCATTGAACGTCTCCAATGCTCATCTCACATAGCCTGAGCTACTGTGTTTGGTATTACTGGTTTAAGAGCTTTGATATCGACTAAAAGGGTGAGCTTTTTAGTGGGTTTGGTGATTTTTTTTTTGGCTCTGGTTTGCATCGGGTGGACATTGGAGATTGTTGAGGGTTGAGGATCATTTGATGGTGCAGGATTTTGTGAAATGGTTGAAGAGAGGTTCTGATTCAGGGTTGTCGGGGAGGTGGGAGGAGGTGTAGGAGTAAAGAGTGGAGAGTTACCTGCTGTAAACCGCTGCGAAGTACTTGATGATGTAGCCATTGAAATCTGTCCCGCTAAAGCCTCATCATTCCGCTCTGCCGAAACATAGTGTGAGGAAGACGATGGCGACAACTATTGGAGGTGAGGAGGAGAGCTCGGGGGAGGCGTTGACAAGTGTTGTACAAGTGAAGCCGGCTTGAGAGGAACAAGAGTAGGTGGTGAAAAAGTCGGTGATGAGGTTGTTTGATCATCTTCTGGTGGGGATGAAGAAAGCGCTTCTGCATGAGGAAACTTAGTCTCAACGAACTGAACATGATGGGAGGTATAGATACGTCCAGTAGGGAGATGGAGACAGTAGTATGCACTCTGTGTGTGTGAATAACCCAAAAAGATACATGGTAAAGAACGATCCTCCAGTTTGTGCTTTGTGTATGGTCGGAGCCATGGAAAGCACAAGCACCCAAAAACTCGAAGTTTCAAGTAATTAGGTGGTTTGGCTAAGAGTTTTTCATATGGAGAGAGAGCATCAGTGATTTGCGACGGTAGACGGTTGATAAGATAAACCGCTTCTGCGAAGGCATACGTCCGGTACGTAGTCGGAAAAGACGATTGATGCAGCAGAGTTAAGCCCGTCTCAAAAATATGCCAATGTTTTCTCTCCGCAATCCCAGTGTGTTCTGGCGTATGTGGAGGTGAGGTGAAGTGAGAGATACCATGAGACGCCAGATAAGATCGCAGAGCCACAAATTCTCCTCCATTATCCGAGTATAAGTTTCAGATCTTGCTTGCAAAGTGTTTTTCCACAAGGGCATGAAAAGCTACAAATGTCTCCTTGACTTGTGATTTCAGTTTCAACGGATAACACCAGGTGTACCGCGTGTACTGATCAATGAACTCTAGGTAGTACTTTAACTGATCAATGGAGGTAATGGGAGATGACCAAACGTCTGTGTAGATGTATTGAAGAGGGTGAGTTGAGGCGATAGAATTTGCATAGAATGGAAGTTTATGATTTTTTGATAAAGCAATGAGAACATGGGTTTTGGTTTTCTGAAGTAGACAATGTTTTTCTGAAGTAGACAAAGGTAATGAAAACTTGGAAACAAGAGTTTGCAAAACAGACAAAGAAGGGTGCTCTAAACGGGAATGCCAAGAAGAAAAAGAAGTTTTTTTGTTATGGTGAGGCAAAGAGGGAGATGATGTTCTTGTTCATAACCGGCCACTCATACAACTCGTCTCTAGTTTTGCGTTGAAGCAATCGGTCTCCCGTGCTCAGATCATTCACCTGAAAGTGTGCAGGAAAGAATTCAACGGACACATTATTAGCATTTCACAATCGATAAACATAGATAATATTTTTCTGTAAGTTGGGGACATATAAAATATTATTCAAGGCAAAGGTATGAGATGGAGTTTGGAGGTAAGAGTAACCAGTAAGCGAGATGGGGAGAGATGAGCCGTGTGCAATGGTGACCTCCTCGCCTCTTGTGTAAGGCTCATGGAGAGACAAGTTGTTCAAATCGGTGGTGAGATCGTGAGTAGCGCCACTGTCCATGATCCAACTGTTAGGATTGTATGATTGCACGGACATCATATTTTCTCTTGGCTGCCAGGAGGTAGGCTGTGGGGAGTTTCTGCGTGCGCTGGAGTTGTAAGACGCACTACTATTCTGAAGCTGTGAGCATCGACACGCGGCCATGTACCCCACACAACTGGCATCTGCCTTGATAACCACGGCCAGGCTGATCGGAACGAGGGTAGCCAGTGTTTTTCTGCTGCCACGACTGATTGTTGCGACCGCCATTGTTGTTTTTTCGATGTCCTTGATATTTGCGGTTGTTATGGCCGCTGCTTGAAGGACGGAACGCAGCAGCATTAGTTGTGATCGGAACAATGGTAGAGGTCTTGCTGAGAAGCTTAGCTTCATGGTTCAAAAGCTTCTCATGGAGTTCAGAAATGGAGGGTGTAGAATCACGACCCTCAATCTGATCAACAACAGATTTATACTCCTCGGGTAAACCTTCAAGTATATGCTTGATCTGATCTTCGAGATCATACGGTTTGCCCAATAATGCAACTTGATCAAACCGGGTAGTAAAACCTTGTATGTAAGCATCAATAGTCTTTGTGCCTTTCGTCCAAGTTTTGATTTGTTGTCGGAGCTGCTGGATGTGACCACGGCTCGGTTTCACATAAGTCGCATTCAAAATTTCCCAGATTTGCGCAGAGGTTTCTGCGGTGGAGAGGATTGGTTGGATCGAGACAGTGATAGCACCAAGTAAGGCATTGTAAATAAGACGATCTTGACGTTTCCAAAGAGAATACGCCGGATTTGTGACTTCAACATCATCGGCGGTGTTGGTTGGGGACGGTATCACACCAGACCCATCGATGTGGCCTGTGAGATCATAGCCGTCGAGCAAGGCAAGGATTTGTCGGCTCCACATGAGGAAGTTGGATGCCGTAAGCTTCGTGACATGAGCAATACTGAGGTTGAGAAGGTGAGTTGTTTCAGAAACCGTAATGGTCTTGTGAGAAGAAGCCGGTGAAGTCGACATGGAGATCGAAGAAGATGAAGTTTTTGAAAGTTAGGGTTGACAGCTAGAAAATTTTTAGAACCCTAGGTATTTTTGATCTGATACCATATAGAGATGAAGGCTTAATATTATTAGATGATAAGAATACATTATTTATACTAATTACATAGATACTCTAGGTATTACATATTGACTAATATAGCCTCACTATACTTATATTCTACACAAACAACAAAACTGTATAAGAGAAAACAATAGCTAACTAAAAAGAATAGACTAACAATGGACTTAACTTACATTAGGCTCTCCTCAATATCAGTGAAGGTTATCAGCGTTCATTCAATAATAATATCAGATGAATCAAATCAGAATTGAACAGATTCCCAAACACACGATTGATAATCCAATATAATTAGATTCAATCTGAACAAACATGAAAAAAAAGATAAATCAAAATCTCAATCAATCGCGAAACAAAGGAATCACACCTTTGATCATGTTTCCACAGCGTCAGAGACATCATAATAGCCTGCTGTTACCTCCTCTGCTAGACATAATCTGAGAGAACAGACCTGCAGCTTCTACATAGTTTTGCTCTGCAAGTTTAACAGAGAGAACAGGCCTGCAGTTGAACTAAAGGATCGTTTTGGCTGGCCTTCCCGAGCACCCACACAGCTAGCTTTCCTTACATCTGAGTCAGAATGATTAAGCTCTCCTGCCACAACTTTAAGCCCTCCTCAAATCTGTACATACTAATGTATAAACTGTAGTCATGGAAAACACAAACGACAAAACTGTATAAGAGAAAACAATAGCTAACTAGAAAGAATAGGCTAGCAATGGACTTAACTTACATTAGGCTCTCATCAATATCAGCGAAGGTTATCAGCGTTCATTCAATAATAATATCAGGTAAATCAAATCAGAATTGAACAGATTCCCAAACACACGATTGATAATCCAATATAATCTGAACAAACATGAAAAAAAAAAGATAATCAAAATCTCAATCAATCGCAAAACGAAGAGCCAGAAGTCTTCGTATAGTACCTCAAAGCAGATCCATGAGGCTTAACCACATTTCCGGAAATAGAAAGTTATGGAAAAAAATCTAGAGCCGCAGAGGATAATGAGGCAGATGAGGAGATATGGAGCTGCGCTAAGGAGGAGATGCATCAGGGAATAGTCGCAGGCGCAGTGGATGAGTCAGAGACGCATCAAGACAGGTCCTAGACAGTGTGAGAAGCAGCATTCGAGATGGAGGAACCCGTGAGACTTCAACGAAGAAGCTCGTTAACGAGGATGACGATCGGAGGAACACATTGGAGGTTTGATATTGAAGAAGACAAAAAGCTTGTTAGAAAAGATGACGCACCATAAACAATTTTCTTTAATGAAACGCAGGTTTAGAGAATGGACATGTGTCACACTTTTGTTTACTTATTTTATGACATGGCACACTCACAAGAGGGAAAATCCAACTTTATATATATAGATAGATAGATAGATAGATAGATAGATAGATAGATAGATAGATAGATAGATAGATAGATAGATAGATAGATATATGCATTAAACTGATTTGATAAAAGTGCATCTTACTACAAAAATGTACATGAGTTGTAAGTTATAGTTTGATGCCTTGATAGATTTTAGTATCAAATTGAACTTGACCCAGTTGGTTTGGGGCTACGTCCTTTCCACTTGAGCTCCAGTGTTCGAAACAGCATTGGTACCCCTCTCTCTCTCTATCTCTAACATTAGATCCAACATTGACTCCATCACTTAATAAAAAGTGAGGTAATAATAATTATTTTTTGGTCTTTAAAAAGAAAGAAAATAAATTCTCTAGGATAGATTTTAAAAACAATTTTGTCACAAATATAGATCTTAAAAATAAAAATGATCAAAATAGATTTAAATGTTATATAAAAAAAAATAAGTAAATATACATTTATATCCTTTGGAGTAACTAATTCTATATTCACTTAATAAAAAGTGAGGTAATAATAATTACTTTTTTGTCTTTAAAAAGAAAGAAAATAAATTCTCTAGGATAGATTTTAAAAAAAATTGTCACAAATATAGATCTTAAAAATAAAAATGATCAAAATAGAGTTAAATGTTTTATAAAAAATAAGTAAATATACATTTATATCCTTTGGGTTAACTAATCCTATATTTTTTTTTTTGTTTAGAGTTGAATAGTGGAATTTTGGGAGTAGAATTTCTAATTAAAAAAAAAACTCAATTTTTTTTTGAAAAATGCTATTTTGGTCATTTTAGTTTTTAAAGTCTACTTTTGTGAAAAAAATTTAAAAAGTTTATTTGAAAGATTTGTCCAAAAATGAAGCTGCTTGATAGATAAAGTTTAAATATCTTTATAGTTGTTGTTTTGTGTTTTGCAATTTTCTTTTCCGAGTCTCTGCTTAGCTTCATTGCCATACAAACTCAAAGCAGATTCCCTCTTCGTCTTCTTCAATATGCATCAATACCATTAAAACAAGATCATTCATTTTAATGAATGATTTATATTTTTCTAAATTATCTTTAATTTTATAAACAAATTTAAATTTTCATGAATGACATTTTAGTCTTTTTTATTTGAGCCTAAAAACTATATACTAATAGGTTTCATTAATAGGCTGATTCTCTTTCAAATTCTATATAAAAAAATTCTTGCAAAATTTTTTTTTTTTGCGGGTCAGACGGGTCAAATGTTTCAGTTGAAAACATGACTCAAGACGCTACGGAGCGGGTTGTACGGGGCCGGTCTGACTGAGCGATTGAAATTTTGTAACTAAATGATTTTACGAATTAATCACAAAACTAAAAAAATTAGACCATTTAATTGTTAAATATACAATCTTTCTCAAGTATATATTTCAGGTACAACCATTGTTAACTTATTTAGAAACATAAAAAATTATCTGAGACATTATAAAATAAAAATTTATTCATACTCGCATAATAACTTGATATTGATTCTGTGACATTTTATATCATCAAAACAAAAGACTTATCGATCCATCTGTAGATAAAAAAAAAAAAAAATAGTACCCGCGCTTTTTAAGAGCTGATCAAAAATTCTCTTAAAAGCACGTTCATCTATTCACCATGGTCATTGTTCTCAACGCCGGCTTCAGTTCTCCGATAAGTATTATTGAAACCAGAACTTGATATTGTTTGTGTATGCAACTGAATAAGAATCACTCTCTTATAAATCTCAAGGAAAAACTAACTCAAACAACCTTGAGTCTTTTAATCATACACTCGTAAACCTAATCATAACTCGATAGGTTTACTTATATAGCTAACAAGATAATCCTAACCATAAACCGACATATGTTGTAGATAACTCCTAAACATATTTGTACTTATCTCAAATCTCAACAAGATTAGGATTACTTGTATCGTAAGTCTTCATATTTCTTCACTTAACTTCAAGCTTACTCCAACATTTCCTCCTTTAAGCTTGAAGTTACTATCTATTGAGTCCTGAACACCTATGAACTCTCTCATTTCCTTGAACTTGATTCTTCCAAGTCCCTTTGTTAATATATCAGCTTTCTGCTTGTTCCCTGAGACGTACTCGACATCCACCTGTCCCTTCTCAACGCTTTCTCTGATAAAATGGAACCTCCTGTGAATATGCTTGCTACGTCCGTGGAAGACAGGATTCTTGGTTAGTGAGATTGCAGACTTGTTATCAACTCTGATGATCACTCTTTCACATCTGTAGCCTGTAACTTCGCTTAAGAGTTCTTGAAGCCAGATAGCTTGCTTGGCTGCTTCAGTAGCTGCCATAAACTCTGCCTCACAAGAAGATAGTGCCACTACCTCTTGTTTCTGTGAGCACCAAGTGATGGGACTCTCTCCAAGATAAAACATGTGACCTGTTATGCTTCTACCATCATCTATATCAACATTGAGAGAGCTATCACTATAGCCTAGAAGTTTCACCTTGTCTGCCCGTCTGTAAGTAAGACCAAACGAGAGAGTTCCTCGTATATACCTCAGAACATGTTTCATTGCAGCTTCGTGAGACTCTTTCGGACTGATCATGTATCTACTCAAAACTCCTATACTGTAAGAGAGATCAGGTCTTGTGTGGACAAGATAACGTAGACAGCCTATGCTCCTTCTGTATTTTTTCTCATCAGTTGATGCTTCTCCTTCTGCCTTTGATAGTTTCAGACTTCCATCCATTGGTATATGAACAGAGTTGCAGTCCTCCATCCCTGTCTCTGCCAAGATTTTCATTGCATATCTTTCCTGCTTCAGTGTGATCCCTTCATTATGTTGCAATACCTCAATTCCCAAGTAGTATGTCAGTCTCCCTAAGTCACTCATCTCGAATTTAGCTGACATCTCCTCCTTGAATTCAACTATCATGGATAAGTCTGAGCCGGTTACTAGCAGATCATCTACATATACTGCAACAATAAGAAGATCCTTGTTGCGTTTCTTCTGATATAGTGACGGTTCCTTAGAGCATCTACCAAAC